ATGATAGCAACTCTTCCTGTAGGAAGTTCGAATGTCTGTGTTATTCTAATTAGCATTTTGCTGATGACCAAATATGTTGAGCCTTTTTGCATGTACTTATTGGTCATTTCAATTTTTTCTTTGGAGAAATGTCTGTTTGTTTCAACTGTCCATTTTTTATTGAGCCTTTTATTTTGGGCAATTTAACTTTTTCAGTTGTTTATGTATTCTAGATATTCATCCTTTGTAACCGGAGTGGTGGGCAATTTTTTTTCCTGTTTTTTGGGTTGTCTCTTCACAGTCTAGGTTGGTTACTTTGTTGTGTAGAATCTCTTCAATTAGATATAGTCCCATATTCTTAATTTTTGTGTTATTTCTGTACTGTATTAGCTCTTTAAGCACCCACATCCAAATACCACCACATTCTGAGGTACTGAGTGGGGGATTGTAGTACGAATATGCTAGTAAGGGGACAAAATTCAGTCCATTAGAAACAACAAATGGAGTACAGGAAATGTGACAAGACAAAGTAGAAGTTATGTTAAAATGAACAAAAACAAAACTGTATATCACTTGGGCTTAGACTGTAGTTCAGTTGGGAGAGATCTTGCCTAGCATGCAAAAAGCCCTGGAAAATACATATCAAAAAAGCTATAGGATGCACAAAAACATCAGTCATAAATTTAGCACTATAAAGCCCATGACATCCTGAAAAAGGAAAGTGATATCAGACAATAATAACTGAGTCTTAAAAACTGAGAGAACAAGAGAAAACCCATCTGAAAATAAGCACTCAAAAGGGAGGAATACTAAAGAAAAGGGTGGAGGGAATTAAATGGAATATAAAAATAATTAGAGAAAATTGATGCAAGAAAAATTTTGTATTTTGAAAAGATTAATGAAATAGACATACCTTTAAACTAAAAAAGATAAAACATATGTAGTGAAAATATATATAGTGCATGACTGCAGGTTTGTCATTCTGGAAAAGGAGAAATAAGTGAAATAATAAAAGATCACTGCCTGACAGTGGTTCATGAAAAGGAAAGTGAAGAAAGGTTGACTATATGGAGGCAGGGGAATTTTTAAGGCAGAGATCTATTCCATACAATAAATGCTGTTGTTGTGGTTCCTTGGTGATTATACATTTTTAACAATCTACTGAACTTGACAGTGAGGTAAGTGCATACTGTTTCAAGCAATGGTGTATGCAACAGTGGTATTAAAATTACTGTGTGCAGGTTGCCCTGCAATTCCAAGTTGTGGCAAGGAGAATGTGGAATGTTGCTCCTGCATTCCACCAAATACAAACCTTGAACACTGGGGGCAGGGATGGTGCAAGTCCTTCCATGGGCATTCAGAATATTCTCCTGAAGGACTCTCCCTCACAGAACTGCGAGACGGGATTAGGTACAGGGAGGTGAGCATGGAGCATGAGTGAGAGGGCCTTCCATGGCCAATGTCTACAGCTAAATATACAGACCCTTGTCCTACTTGAGAAGCACTGAACATCGCCCCCTCTGAGGCTAGAACAAGTTACACCAGGTCTGCACAGCTCCATGACAGGACACGAACCATGCATGATAACAGAGTTTCAGAGGAAAAAGGAGAAACCCCACCAATCAATGCATCCTTGAATCCCAAGCCATATGCATGCTCAGGAATACTAAAACCATGAGGAAATGTATGCCTTGGTCATTTAAAAATGCTTCTATATTGAAGATATACTCCTAAGTGAAATAAATAAGTCACATATGTGTATATACCAATAGTTTCCCTGGTGTGAATAATCTGCAATAATACATAAGATCCTAATAAGATTACTGACATTTAGAAATGGGAAGAAAGGAGCTAAAGGTGTAGGGAAGGTGGGATGGGTAGGGGAAGGGTAATAAGGGAAAAGAAAAAAATGTGAGATAATGAAAAGATGAAAATAAAGT